CCGGACACATAAAAAAATATAGATTGCATATGTAAGAACCCTCCCCCTTTTGGGGCCATCCAGGGGAGGGGGGTTCCGGGGGTTGGGACCTTCATTTTTTTGACGATCAATGTTTTAGATTGAGGACATCATATGGTTGGATCACCCCCCCCCCCCCCCCTTTTTTTAACTTGGATTGCAACCCCCCTTTTTAAAAATGGCTGGATACGCCCTTGGACAAAAGTTTTTTGCATGTATGTTCTTTAAGACATTGCCATATGGGATCAAAATTTTAGCTTCAAGCAGAGGAGTAATTATTTAAATGATTTTTTTTTTAATTCAAAATAGATGCTAAATATTTTTTTTGCTATTGGAATTTCCTGAAACATGTTTTTTTTTTTTTAATATGTCTTGAAACAACTTGTAGTGAACACTATTAGTAATCTCTTCTGTTCATGATATTAAAAAAACAATTTCTATTGTTATGAATAACAATGTAATGTGTTTTCGGGATGTAGAAGCAGGGGTTTCCAGAAACCCCGCTCGTCACACCCTGTGGACAAAATCCATTGTTATTCGTAACAATAGATCTATTCAATTTACACTTGTTTCAGAAATAGAAACTATGAAGTATAACAATAGAACCAGGGTGTAACCGTAGTTCAATTCATAAGTCAGGCGGTCTATTTTGTCTACATTATGTTGAAAGAACACCGGGGTGTTTACATTGACATTATTTACTACCATAGACTGTGAAACAAGAAAGGAAAACATTGTACATTATAAAACGAGAAATAATGAAAATTAAATACAAAATTCTTGTTTAGTGAAATCAAAAACGAAAAACGGAAACACTTTTGATTTATATTTTGGTTTTAGAGTAATCAAAAACTAAAAATGAAAACACCTTCGTTTTCCGTTTTGGTTTTAGAGAAATCAAAAACGAAAAATGAAAACACTTTTGTTTTTTGTTTTGGTTTTTGAGAAATCAAAAACGAAAAATGAAAACACTCTCGTTTTTTGTTTTTTGTTTTTGATATTTCAAAATGAAAAACGAATGGACGCAAATATCCACGGACCCTTTCAGTACATCTGAGTTGTTTTGGTGGTTTTATTGTTTTGTGAAATATTGTTTGCATTTTTATTGATCAAACTTTTTTAGCCAACGGTATTTCTTGTAATTGTGAACCTCTGTGAACTCGGTATATTCTCTCCCTTTTTCTACTTTTTCTATGTAACACGAAATGTTTTTTTTTCTCTAAGGTATCGGAGGTTTACTAAGTGTGCGCTAAATCTATCACAGGAATTTCTAAATTTAAAAGATAAGTATGTATCAATGAAAATATGGATAAACCCAATAGGGATCTTAAGCCGTGTTTCCATTGCGCTAAACTCGGTATGGTGTAAGTGTACACAACACTTAAAATAAACTCAATTACGTTACCATTAATATAAACCAAGGTGTACGTGTAGTTTAAAACAAGTTTTGACTACATGCAGTCGATAGTCAATGTAAGCCTTATGTGGGTTAAGCGTACATAAAAATATATATTAAAAAACGTAGATATTATTACGAATATTTAAGAAAGTTACATATATTGAATTAAAATTATAATGATTTAGGTACTTTATGTGTACTTTACTATGTGACGTCATTATAGTAGGTGAATTGCGTTTAAACCAGAAGTTTGAATACTTTGAAAAAGTAATATGAACGTTTTCTAAAAAGTTTACAGTGGCGCCAACCTCCGCTCACACATATTTATCCCGAAATAATCTTGATATACCATATATTTTACTTTAAAAATAAAAAAAAAAAAAAAAATCAATGGGCGAGGGATTGCGCCAGATATAAGAAATGATGGAAAAAGATCGGAAAAGGTGAAAATTCCTATAAAAATGGACTAGAACGACATATTTTACTTTTTTAGATACATATTTAAAATATATCAAACAGCTTTTGAATTTCCTTACTATACTTTCAAAAATACTTCATTTAGCAATACCTAAACATTACATTTACTCATACAGTTCACGTTTAAAAAATGTACTTTACAAGGCAGCAAAATTGGTATAAAGACTCTCCTCTTTGAAGTAAATGTCGGTTTTGAAGCTGGCATAATATCTAAACTTTTTAATTTATACAATGAAAATTTTTCTATATTCATAAGTAAGAGCATGTTCTGTCTTCTAAACCTGTAAATGCTATGTAAGATAGAGACATAAGTTGGGTGTTGGGGATTCCTGCAAACATATTGAAAAAACAAATACAGATAAGAAAAAAAAAATGTATCTATCAAAAAGAACAAAATCAGTAGATTGTAAAAATCTATTAACGCTACCGTGAAGTCTTCAATGTCTATTAAAATGACCCACTGAGAATCGCAGATATTTACTAGATTTAATAAAGCAGGCAAGTGGTTAGTATCTAGTACCGAGCTTGTTGCCATATACATACAATTTATGTCATGGTTTGGTGTGTTTGCATATGAAGATATCTTTTCTATAAATCGTACAGATGTTTAAGAGGAGAAGCCCACCTGTACTGCACCATCCACAAAGTGACAGCATACTGCGCAATAACTCATTTTTCGGAAGTTAAAATATAAGTTCCCCAAAAAGTTCTTCCCATTGAAAAAAAAAAAAGACGAAGAAATATGCCAAATGTTTAATTCGTTAATTTCAATCTCTGATCTGAACAACGAGCACCTGCAAAAACATGAAATAAATTAAGAATAAATATTTTTCATCATATATACCTACTACTGAAAACATGCAATTTAGAAACTTAACAATGGTCACTTACCATAATTTCATCGATTTTCAATTCTTTTAAAGCAAGAGGCTGCAAAACTACTCCAAACGGTCATCCATTTTGTTCACTATTAAAATTTAAAAGAACAATTTAAGCCATCAGGCAGACGAAGCTGATGCCAACTGGTACACTGTAAGCCTGCCCGTCGTACTAACCAGCATTGCTTACCAAAAATTCGTTAAGGAAACCGTGAGATAATTTTGAATTGCATCGAAGCGATTGTTTTGTTTGACAAGGAATCTAATTATTAACGGTGCAAGACTATTTCCGTGGAATTAATTCCTCTTATTCACGTGATATTTCTCAAAACACCCCTGAAATTTTCGAAAGCTGGTGGAATTTTGCTCAAGAAAAGTATGCAATAATTTCTCAATATGTCCAAGGGGAACAAATATTATGGCACTGTGTATAACAAAGATTCCAGGGGAATTTCTGTTAGGCGGAACAAATATACATTGACACCAGGACTAAACAAAATTTGTAAGATGTGGTACCTATTTTCAGTCCTGTAAGGGGACGACCATTTGAAATTGGGATAGGATGTAGGGATGAGTTTGTTTTTGTTGTTTTTTTGGGGGTGGGGGTGGGAGGTGAATAAACACTCATTTTCATGGTTTGCTACGCATTTTTTGTTTTCAAAATTGGATTGAACCCATTCCTTTTGTCCCGAAACAAAATTATCGTACCGTTATCTTGTCTGCCAGTATGAAGTTTCTAAGATGGGCAAACAGAAATGATTGTTTCCATTATTTCCTGGATGTTTCTGCATACAAAAGAAAATAGTGAATGTTTAATTTAAAGTAATTTTTGTAACTAAAGAAAAGAAACATATTATAGATCGCAATCGTCATTGTCCTAATGCTACTACCGTGTAGGACTGCAGCCATTGCAATGTCAAGAAGAATTTCATTGAAGGATATGCAGTCTAAATACACATATCTTAGAACCCTCTCTTGTATTTTTTTGTTAAATTTTCTCTGTACAAAAATGCCAAACCAAAGGGCAAACTTTAGATTTACACTCAAAAAAGTATATATTGTTGTAACTTTGTGTTCCTGATGAAATAAGGCATCGGGAACACTCAACTGTTGCCATGCCTGTCTTTACATTTTACTATTTAGTGCATCAAATTTAAGTCGATAATCTAAATCAATTCCAAATCAATTTGTAACAGGATTTGCTTCTGTGTATCTTATTTTCATTTGACCAGTCAGTCAGCATAAGCTTATTAGCTTGTAATGAAGATAAGACAGGATAGGATACTTGTATTCCAATTAAAGGGCCCATGAAGAGCACAAAATTTAACACAAGTATTTTTTTTTATAATTGGAAACAAATAATTTTAAAAATCATATAGAAATACGAATATAATCAATTAATGGAATTATGACATTGTCAAAATCAGAGATTATGGGGGACCCGGGATAATCATACAGCAATGCCACAAAATAAAATATGTGATTTTTAAAGACTTTTACTAAAAGGGTCCGGAAAATAAAAATAAATGACTATTTTGGCACATTTTTTTAAAATTTTACATAAGACCAGTACGATTCCTTTGTAACATAATATTCCTATACATAAATACGGAATCCTTTTCGGGCAAGGCTAATTTACTTTTTCCAATTTGATAGTAAGGCAACAGTAGTATACCGCTGTTTTATAGTCATAAATCGATTGAGCGAAAACAAATCCGGGTCACAAACCAAAACCGAGGGAAACACATCAACTATAGGAGGAAAACAACGAAACAACAGAAACACTGAACTGCTAAAAAAACAAACATAAATACATGTAGAAACGGACTACTCCTGACTTGGTACAGGACATTTAAAGAAAAAATGGTGGGTTGAACCTGGTTTTATGGCTAGCCAAACCTCCAGCTTATATGGCAATGTTAAAAATACCGCTCAAATGACAACATTACATGACAGGAATACAGAAAATATATGATATAACAAATTAATAACTTGATATAACAAATCAATAATTTGTTAAATAAAATCGGAAAAAAGAAAATTAGCATCGCCCTAAATAGCTTCCGTAAATGAATGATATATGTGATTAACTATCATGACGGTTAGTCGTTTAATAGGACCAAACAGAGACAATAACATCGTATCGGTACGTTGTATGCAAATTCAAATATTCCCGCCAGATATTAGTTTCCATTACGGTCACGTGAGTAATTACCATCCTGGTTAACATTCCAACAGGGGCGGACGCCTAATAAGGTAACAAACGTATTTTCTAAATAATTAAGAATACCTATGTCAACAAAGGCAAGTTAGACATTTAGTGTTCTTCATAAACGTAAATATTGACAGGCCAACATTTATTTATATATTTAAGTATTTTGTAAAAGAATCAACTTTCGTTTTTGTTATGACGGGTGATCATTTGCGTTTTTTTTTTTTTTTTTTTTTGTGATTGGAGCAAGAGTGATTGTGGAATATGGATATTATTGAAAATAGTCATAATAGTTTTCTTGTTTGTCGTTTTGTTACATTTTGTCATGTCAATGGGTTTCTTTCATAATTATTGAAGGCCGTGTAGTGACCTACAGTAACTTACATCCACAAGATTTGGCGTTTGGTTGATAGTCGCATTGTCTCATGGGCGATCATAATTTTGCTTGTATCTTTACATGTATAAGTTCTTTGATCATGTGTTTATCTTAATATTTATTCGTGTTTTTTTGTGGTGGTTTTGATATAGAAAATCATGGTTATATTAAATTCAGACCTTGGCAAAGGTCAAAATTTCACTGTACCTGTTCCATCTCAGGCTGATATTCCGTTGATATTAAACAAAAGAAATGGAATTCTTTATTAGAGTAGGTTAAAATAGCCAAGTTGGTATATTTGAAATATTTATATCTGTTTCTATTGCCTTTATGAAGTTTAATGAAGTGTATAATTTAGGTTTTTTTTGCATCTTATATACGTAGATATAAGAAGATGTGGTATGAGTGCCAATGAGACAACTCTCCATCCAAGTCACAATGTGCAAAAAATAAACAATTATAGGTCAAAGTAGTGCCTTCAACACAGAGCCTTGTCTCACACCGAACAGCAAGCTATAAAGGGCCTGAAAATGACTAGTGGTAAATAATTCAAACAGGAAAACAAACGGTCTAATCTATATAAAAAACGAGAAACGAGAAACACTTATGAACCACAACAAACGACAACCATTGAACAACAGGCTTCTGACTTAGGACAGGTGCAAACAAAAGCAGCGGGTTTAAACGTTTTAACAGGCGCCAACCTTTGCCCTAACCTGAAACAGTAGTGTAACAGTACAACATAGAAAGACACACTATAAAATATCAATTAAAATGGCTTAACTCGACCAAAAAGACATATTAACAAAAACAAGTAAACAAACACTGAACGAAGAAATTTGATCAATGACACAACACAAATACAATACTAATAAAATATGTTTATACCTAAAGTATAGTTTAAAGCTTCGAGATATATATGAACACCTTATTATGTTCATGCGTGTTTAAGTTCGCTGTTTTGTCTTGAAAACGTTAAAGAAATATCTGATACATCACCTCGCTTCAAATTCCATTATTATTATATATTGAGGCTATATATATATATATTGATATGATAACATTTTAAAATTCACAACATCAAAAAATGAAATATATGGGTCAAGTGAAATACCTTTCTAATGAGTCATAACAACATAGTGGGTGTGTTTGAATAACACATTTGTACTTAAAACACATGACGACAGATTTTACCTGTGTTTTTTTTTTTTTTTTTTGAGTAATAGCACCATTGATTTTACCCTATTAGTCTTTGTTAAATTGGTACTTTTCCAAAAAATGTGCAGATTTTATCTGTGTTTCAAATAAAGAAATACTTGGCATGAGTAAAGTTGTATCCTGCTTAGTACTACAGGCAAAATTCCACATTACATTTCATTGCATATACGATAATAACCTTCACTGGAAGATAACCAATCAAATTTTACCCATTTTTTCTGTTTACAAGCCTTAGTAACCATGTAACCTCAAGTTTCCAAAATATTTCATAGAAACAACAAAATAAAAAAGAATGGTGCTTTGAAACACCCAAGATATATGTTTATGACTCAAGTTTTAACTTCTTATAACTGTCAAATTAAAGGAAATTTTTTTGTTCGACCCTTTTTCGTATGAAACCGGATGTGACGTACTATAATTTGATGGTGTAACACCTTTAATGCATAACTTCGAAAAACATTTTAGTTTGACCTTCACGAAATACTGTATTCATTATTTTTTTGTGTTATTTATCTATCAAAAATTCCCCCTGACAACCAATCAGACAATAGGTTTAAGTTGATAAAAGGTCTAATCGTACATTTAATGAGGCTTAATAGCTAGTAGATGTATTTGTATTTTGAAATACAACTGTCATTGTAAGAATTGCAATAATGCTATATCGATAAATTTGGTTTTCAAGCACTAAATTGATAGCGCGTCATCACTACAATGGCTTCAATTTTCACGATTGAATAAATTATGTGGAGATATTTATGACCTTATACATTCGAAATTGTCATATTTAGAGCAAAATGAAGGGGATGCCCATGTTTGGGACATCAAATCACAACTTCCATATCTTTTGACGGAAAAGCTTCCACCTATTCGCAAGGGGAGTAGTCCCCATCAAAGGTGCCAGAAATGTTTTACGTGGTCTTTCTAGGAACCTATTTATCGTTTCGACTACAGTCCTCATCAGTGAACTCCTTGATGTGTAACATTGATGCAGGTCACTATAAGCGTTTTCATCAAACTTGTTTTGGTTAGAGAAAAGTAGATGGGGAACCTGTTTAGGACACCAAGGTGCAACTTTTTTTTGTTTATATTTTACGACCCTCTGTATGGGAGAAAATTCCTAATGTTGATTCCAGAGATATCACAAGTGATCCACACTCTAAAACTATTAATCACTGGGACAATTGCCTCCTTAACATGTCCCCTTTTTATGACCAAAAGTTCAAGGTCACCAAATTTGACCATTTTATGTATGTTTGTCGGATACCGTAAGAAATATGAAGAACAAATTTTGATACATCAAGCAGCAATTATATTATCTTTCAACGCCAACGTGACGACACAAGCTACGACCGAGATAATCTTCATCGAAGGTTCAAAATGAAAATAACACTTTATAAATTGTATGCACTTTGCTCGATTAATCTCTATCAGGAACATTCGGAGCTAGCAATTTGAAAGACAAGGATCTATAAGTATTGAAGTAAAAGCTAGATGGCAACAAGGGACCCCACTTTAATAATTAAAACACCCTCTTATTGTCAGTGTCCTTGTGAGCGGGATATAACGATTGGGTGATTCTGGTTAAAAGTGACATAACACTTTGCTAGAGGAAGTTATAACCTTGGTTTCATAATAAATTTATAGAAAGATGATAGAAACCGTTATTGAACCGTTGCAAATTCAATAAAAATAGTAAAATTATTCAATACTTTGAAATCAGTGTTGTTTAAATTAATTATAAATGAACAGGACATGTAAATATAATATGGACAATCAAGTATAGGAAGGTTATTTGTTATTTCGCTTGACGTCATTACTATCTAAACATATTCGACCAAATATTGTCATTTTACACGTACATGTATTGTTTAAACAGAATGAAGCGATAACTCGGGATCTCTTAGTCATAGTGAGCTAGTGTCTTCAACAATTTTGGGTATGAGCAATCACAAAGGTCCAGATAGGTCAAGAGAAGTGTGTACCAGGTGATTGCTCAAACCCTACTATATAAACATTTTATGGTTCCTTCGCACTTTAAATTTATAAACTGGAATGGAATTTCCGAAAACACATGTACCATTTTAATATTGAAAATATAACATGTGATATGTGATAGTCTACTGTATTCAAAGACATATGGTTATAAGGTACTTTTTGTATCCTTAAGGGACTTTAAAATAAATAAGTTTTTGAAGGGTTGTTAATTGGATTTGATCTTCGATATGTTTAACGTTAAGATTGTCATATCTCAAGGAACCTTGTTGTAAAGACACTAGCTCGCTACGAGTAATATATCCCAAGATACCGCTTCTAATGACACATGTAACAAAGGTAACTGGAAATATCTGAGAACACTAAGGTAAATGATTTACAAAAGGTTATTTTCTAACACGGGAAACAGCTCTTATTCATTCTCTGAACAATATCGTTAATTGTTCATTATCAACTATTATCTTGTAGTTTGGTGATGCATATGGACTCCTCTTCCCAGAGTTGTGGTGTGTGTGACCTCCGACACATCAACAAACCATCTATAGTTTGGTGTACAGAATGTGATGAAGGACTATGTACAGAATGTCAGGAACACCATAGTCTGTCGAAGGGAACCAGAAACCACAAGACCATAGCATATACGGAGTACCAGAAATTACCTAGTGATGTACTAAGGATCACTCAAAACTGTAGTACACACCAAGAAAAATTTATAATTTATTGCCGGAAACATGAACGTCCTTGCTGCAGGAAATGTATAGTTGAAAGCCATAAAGAATGCCGGGATATCGAAAATTTAGATGACGTCATTCAACATGTCAAAACCTCAAATGCCGTCTACGAGATTGAGGAAACATTGGTTGAAGTAGCAGAAAATTTACAGAAAATCCATCAACATCAACAAGGAAATCTGGCGACGTTGAAAGAGAAAAGAAAACAAATTCAAAAAGAAATTCAAAAGGCCAGGACAACGATCAACAACCATCTGAACAAACTACAAGAAGATTTGATAAAACAACTTTATGCTGTAGAAGAAAAAGAAAACTCGAAAATTCGTCAGTTATTGTCTACATTAGAAAAGACAGAAAAAGAAATTTTAGATAATCAGAGAAACATTGCGAACATCAAGCAACACGCAACTGACCTTCAGCTATTTCTTTCAATTAAGCAAATAGAAGAAGACGTCTGTATCAAAGATGAATTTCTTAACTCACTAGTCCGAGGCGAGGGTCTAAAGCTTTATGGTCTAAAATATAAAATCAACACTGCTATTCAGAATATCATTTCCGATATCAAAAGTTTTGGAGATGTCCACATTGAAGCGAAACAATGTGAAATTGTTCTTAGCAGGAAGAAGACGAAACAAGCACAGATAATTGTACCAACCGTTGAATCAAGTTCCATTGAAAATATAAAACTGAAAATAAACAAGACAATACAACATCAAGGAAAATACGTCTTTGGATGTTGCTTGCTACCAAATGGTAGAACGGTGTTTACTTACTACAATGAATTTGCAGTAAGAGTATTCAGCAATGAAGGAATACAAGACTTTGAAGTGAAGATACCGTGTTACCCGTTTGATATAGTGTACAACAGTGAGGACAATACATTGGCTGTTACATCTGGTGGTTCAAGAGAGCATTGTATTATCATTATAGATTTGAAAAAGAAACAAATCAAGAAAACAATTTCACTGGATTCGAATATTTATGGCATAGCACTGAAAGATAATCGATTGATGTATTCCGCTGAAGACAAAGGGATACAAATGATCAATCCGTACGACGAGTCAATAAGTGACATAGTTCGAGATAAAATGCCTAGTAACTGTTACATTGCAACTTTTGAACACCAAACATATCAGACAAACAGTTTAACAAATACCGTTAATTGTTACGATCAACACGGTAAATCGCAATGGACTTTCCATAATGAAAGCATTCTGAGGTCTCCTCGTGGTATTTCTGTAGATACTATTGGTAATTTGTACGTGACGGGGGTCCGTTCGCGCAATGTTGTAGTTATCTCACCTGACGGACGACGATATAGAGAAGTATTGGCAACAAGTGATTGTCCTTCAGAACCTTTTTCACTTTTTTATAATAATTCAAAAAAGCAGTTGCTAGTGGCGAACTGCGAAGACGAGGCTCAATTGTTTGATTTTATTTGAAATGTGTTTGTCCCGGTTCAGGTTTTCAATAATATTTTTTTTTTTTTCAATTTTAGCTGTCACAGCTTCAAGTGTTCGGGTGAAATAAACTGTTTATGTATTATAACTGTTAAGTTTATTCATATGGTTACGATAACTAACAATGTATGCGCAACATTCCTGTCAATGTTATGGTTAAGATTGATAACGCCTAATGGAGGTCCTGTTACATATAGAAAACATACATTTCGGAATAAAAAGAAACTTATTAAAGATACCACGCTTATAATTTGTTTACGCCATATGATACTAGTAATTTAAATTTATTCATGTTATAAATCTGTATAATGAGGAAATTCACAAATACATGACATTGTCTTCATTATTCAGAAATCATTACGCATACATGAACAATACTGATATTTGACAGTATCATATAAAAAAAATGAAAATGTGGAGTTTACATTAATGAGACAGCAACCCAAAGGCAAAAAGCCAAATATCAAGAGGACTTCATTTCACGATAAACATAGTTTATGTAGTTGTCTGAAATCATGGCTCTCACGTCAATTGGGATTTCTTTTTCTAGAATCAACCTTCGTCAGTCGTATTTTGTACTGTAGAATGATATAGCGTTACCTAATAACATTATATTGTTTACTAATTTTTATCAGAGTCTTATAAACCCAGATATTGCAAGTCGGTGAGAACTCGTAATGATATGAAACACTGGAGAGTACAAGTTAAAAGCTCTGTATTTGAAAAAAAATCACACCAGATTTTAAATTAATACCTTCAATATCATATCAAGAAATAATTTTAAATTACATTTTCAAGTTTACTAGATCATATTCTTCTGTGTCCAAACGACCCCGGAAAAAAAATGTGTCTACTCGATAATATTGGTCTTCCAGCATGCTGACGGACCACTAAAAGCCTGCTGAAAGGTAAATTTCGGTTCACTTATTATATGGTATTTGTATGTGATTGTAGAATATAAATGCAGAAATTACTATTTTCGATTGTGATGTGTAACATTTTCTACAACCGTGCTAGATTAATTAAGAAATAAGTAAAAATACACTACAAAACGAGGATCAGAGTAACCCTTACTTTTAATTAGGCTTACTTTCTAATTCAATTAGACACGTGGTCTTTCTGTATAGTAGAAGATATATATATTACTCAGTTTTTGCACCTTAATATTTGTATTTCTACCTATGGAACGACAGAAGTGAGATATGTTAATAAAGAATGACCTGGTATGGTTTTTAAAAATGTACGACCCGGTTTCGTTCTTCAATTTCATGAAGTATGAACCGGTATCTGTATGACTCCCTCTTTTGTTTTGTGTTATTGTGATTTTCCGAATAGGACCTACCGAATTAGACTTATCACAGGGTTTGTACTGAAATAAGGAACACGACGGATACTACATGTGGAGCAGGATCGGCTTACCCTTCCGGTGCACCTAAGATCACCCCGGTTTTAGTTGGGTTCGTATTGCTCAGTATTTTATTTTTTATGTTGTGTTTTGTGTACTGTTGTTTGTCTTTTGGTCGTTTTCTAATGTTGTCCTTGCGTTGTCAGTTTATGTTTGATTTTGAATGTCCCTATGGTATTTCTCGCTTCTTTTTTAAGATATAACGTTAAATAGAAAGAAAATGAGGTGAAACTGATAAAAACCATACTAAGTATGTTGATTTGCTCTGAATCAGTCTATTGCGAAACCATCGACGTCCTTTATGTATTTCTTATTCAGCTTGAAGACTTTCACTTCAATCTACAACCCGCATCTCTTTTGACTCATAATGTTAACAAAAAATAGGAAATATTATAGACGAAGGCAATTTTGTTGGAGAAAAATATTCAATCCAAGGAAATGTAAGATCCTAAAAATCGACAAATGTAAAAATAAAAAAAAAAACTTTTTATTGACATGTATGTTGATAAATGTTTTTTTTTTTAATAAAGGTATAATGATACTTTTGAACGTGTTTAGTTATAAGAATCAGATCAGCACAGGATGTATACACTTGTCAACTTGTTCTATAGTCGCGTTTTTTTTAACAGACAAAGCAGATATTGCTTACCCGTATCTCGCTGAACGATTTGCTACTGTCCGTAAATGGTTGGCATGTGTTTCATAGTGACAAGTATATTCAAAGATTTAAAAATCATTGATAAAAGAGGTCAAGGCCCATGGCTGGTCAATTGGAAGGCTAGTTACGCAACAATCAGACAACAACGGTAGATATGTTATACACATTGTGAAGATAGATAACTGTCTGTGACTTTAATGATTTGTAATATTTCGATGTAATATTTTAAACTTCTTTGTTTTATATTTTAACAGATATGGTTTTTATACTTTCAAACCATATTTAAAAACTTCTAAAAGATAGAAAAATATAAAGCAGAAGGAAGATGTCAGAACGCAAAAAAGAAGTCTGAATAAATATATGAGAGTCCTGTGCAATTTCAGTTATTGGTATGTTGCTTTAAAATGAAGTTGCCAATATCAGGTACTATATGTCTCTGTTTCTGTTCACAAATTGAATAGGTTAAAAATCTTACCTGTCTCTGTTTCCGTTCACACATGGAATAATTAAAAAACTTACCTTTGATTTTTTTTTTCTTTTATTTGACGTTTCTATTATAACCTGATAACAATGCATAAAGCCGCATTTACATAAATTTCTAAGCTACCACTTAGTAGTTGATATAAAACTGTTGAGATCATAATTATTTGAAATTTACTATAATGATAAGTGATCGATGTGTAAAGAATCCATATTTATGCACCAACAAATTTAGATTTATATTTCAGACAATGAATTACGTATTAACTCCACAGGTTATTTCATCTATCAGCATTTTTGTCACCAGCTATTATTTCATAATGAAAAACATGGATACCTTAGACTTGCACCTTAATCTATTTACAAACTCCTTTTGCTTACTCAGTCTTACAAAAATGTACACCTGAACCCTTTAGAGTAAAAATGTCGTATCTTTCAATTATAAAATGGTTAAGTAGAGCTGTAAGCCTGTCATCTCATACTGATAAAGGGACAGATAATATAACTAAACAAACAGATGTTAAAACAAAAAAAGATGAGTTTTTGACAGTAGAGATGATAATAAACAATATATTTAGTTTAATATATTACCATTCCAGGGTAGGAACAATGAAATTAGTGGAAATTTTGTTTACTTTCACATTTGTATAGCTAATCATGGAAATTAAGTATTAAAAAGGATGGAGGACAATTTTTGATGTTATATTTCCCTTCACATAAAAAAAAATGTTAATTTGTCTTCCTTTAATTTTTAATTAGTATTACATGTTTATGTTTGTAATGACTAAATATACACATTTAAAGATATTGATAAGTGTAGTGTATTTTTTATTCCTTCATGCAAAAATTACCACCTATTATAAAGAAAACAAAACATGTAGTTTTCATCAACAAACAAACTTATAATTGAAGTGACAAATTTGTTTGACAATTTTATGTTTTCTAAGGGGTGTAGCTGATAAGCTGATTTTCAATCCAACATCATTTTGATGCGATTTCTTGAGCTAAGATGTAGGACTGCACTGTAACATGCATGCAAACACAGAAACACGCGAAACTGTATATCGAGAGAAATGATCGTGAAGGAAAATTAACGATCGTCCAGTATTGCAATCTACTCGGAAAAAAAATCGTATCGCTCATGAATGGAATAAGATACAATTTGATTTCAAATTCTGTGGAAAAAAAATCGGCTGTATAAACAAAAGGGGGAACAAATTGTAGCAAAACATGTTTTAGTCAAAATGATTATGAGTCCTAATAAATATAGCGTAACGCAGTAACATTAAAGTACTTAAAAAACTACTCAAAGGGCAGCACATACGAACAAAAATCACAGTTACTGTGTAGTGGATTTCTATCGAAAAGGAAATGATAATTAAAACAGAAATACCCTCTTGCGTTTTCCTAAGAAGAATGTTATAGTGTTGTGTACTATTTTTAGGATAAATTTTCTCAAACGTTTACCAGCTCATTTTCAAAATGAAAACAATGTTTATATTAACATGATTAATGGGGTCTTAAAGCTAGTTTAACGGCTCAGACATACGATTTCCCCCTTTTTCAAGTGGACCAAATCACTACATTTCTTAAATTCTAGTCACAAATATTTTTACATGTAATTTAATTCCCCTAATAACTTGTTTATGCATAATATGTCAAGAAATTTGGAATGTGTATGAAAACATGCTAGCAATACACTGTCATCACTAGGAATAACATTGGTAGCCGTACGTGATTGTGAGAGAGAGTGTATACGATACAGTTGCAAATGCAGATAATAACGTTATCAAAACTTTTCGTGTTGTTTTCGCAACGTTGTTAATAAAAAACGTTGTAATTTCTCGATGTTTCTAATAAGAACATTAACATTTCGTGACGTCGCTTTAGATGAAGTCACCTGTGCCGAAAATTCACTAACGTCATAAATTCGTAACGCAAATTTAAAAAAAAATGTACCTCCTTAGAAAAGCGACCATGTCACGAGAATTGTTATATTTATTCATTAATAATGAAGTCAACAGTATTAACTTGAATTATAAAAAAATATATCAGATGAACATTTCCACTTTTGTGTGTATTTTTTTTTTTCATTTCGTATAGGACATGAATTGAAATATATGTAATTAATAAAACGTCAATGAGACAGAAACTCAACTACATAAAAAGCCAAATAAATAATTTAGATATCAACGTACTGTCGTCATCAGTATATAGTATCTATACCATTTGGCAAACTCTAAATCTTACGGGGAACTGTCATTGTAAGGATGAATTTAACAGAGACAATAGACAAGATAGCAAAATAACATAGTAATAAAGACAACACCTCATACTGTTTCTGACTTTGCAAAGGTACATTAAAAAGTTGATGAGATAAACGGCTTTTTATAATTTAACCCAGTGGAATATGTATGGGTATGTAAAAAATCTATTAGTTAATAAGACACCGTTATTATAAAAACATTTTCAACAAACGCATGTTTTACTTTAGGCTGATATGAATTCACAATTTATTGAAAAAAACCTGAAAATCAAGTGTCAAAAAGTGTTGAAAAGGAGTCCCCCCTTTTCAACCTACCTAACCCACACACACGCGTTCGATGCTTATTGATAATTCATCAATGATGTATACATCTACAGTAATCAAAAACATTATGTAAATCAAAAGTATGTCATATGCTAAAAA